ATCTTGATTATAAAGCAGTCGTTTGACAACAAAAAACACAGGCATCAGATTTGAAACTGGATAAAATGAGAACAGATTTAAAGTTTTTGTTGTAGAAAAACGTGAATTTCGGGACGTCACAAGAGCTATGAAATCAACAGAAAACAAGGTTAAGTAGAAAACTCGAATATGTCAGGTGAAAAAACAAGGTACAATGTAAAAAACATCCCTTACGTTTCGAGAGTTCATAAATGTAAACACCCTTATATGTTGTATTATGTTAAATGTTAGTTATATTTACGCTGTATCAAATAAAGTAAAAACCTAATTGTCTATTGAAAAATAAAACGAATAGTTCTAACATTTTGTTAGATTTGTATTTTCAGAATAGGCATTGATTTCAAGATCATATTTTACAATAATTGCATGTCAATGTGATTTCTTTATATCTCATTTTTTTACCTTTTTCTGTCATCTTCTTTAGTCCTACACATTTTTCTGCATACAAATGCAATGGTTTAACATTATTACTAATGCCAAATATGCCATGCAAGCGCTTGACAAGGACACTCACTAGATAATAGACGCATGCAGATGAAACGATCATATAACACATTATTTTCTTGATGGCAAAATGTTGTTGTCTGCAAAATAAACAGATTTTATACGTTAATGGACGCTATCAAATGTTATTTATAACAATTTGTATGCATCATGTTAGTAGTCAATATCAAAAACAACTTCCTCTAAGTTTCGAGCAGTAGTTCCCAAATGTGTTTTAATAAAGTTCTAAACGATGTGAAATGTGACATTAAGTTAGTTATCACATTGCAATTTTAAACCCAACATTTAATCCAAAACTGCAGCTATAATTCATCAAATTAAAGTGCAATACTTAAGAAGAAAAAGTCAGTCGTATTGTCTGAATTGTCAAAGCAAAAATAAAATGCTGACATACTGAGAATAAAGAATCCCGTGAGAGGAATAACAGCAAACAAAAACACAGACAAGCATTACAGACTGAGTTTAATTGATTCTATGTTTTGCCAACATATCTAGATTTATCGTAAAAGATATTTTATCTAAAGGGCGATTGATATTGATGCTTCTAAAAAACAATAAATCTACAAGAGCGACAGAAAAGGTTGTTTTACGGATATATTTGTTTTAATATGTAAGAATCAAAACCATTTAATCATTAATGTTTACATGACAAGTCTTGAAGATAAACCAATTTTAACCAAAACAAGACAAGAAGTCCTCGTTTGGTAAGAATAAAATTTACTTTTATAATGAAATGATAAAAAGTGGACACTGATTAATTATTGGTCTGACGATGATGAATGATGACAATAATGATGATGATAACGATGGTGAACATAAGGATATTGATGAGGAGGATGTAGAGGAACGTTTTGTTATAAATACCGAATAAAATAATCAAATCTCTTATTTTAAGATGTGTTCTGTAATTTTTGTCAAAGACCAGACCAAATCCATTATGGCGTTAAGTGTTCATGTTTGATTATTGTCTTTTTGTTATTGGTGATTGAATTGGTTGATGGATGAATGTATTAAAAGTTTTTTTATCAGAATTGGTTCGGGGAAAGCTAACGCAACGCATTTCATAGTAACCGTCTGCTCCTTGATTTGCTTTAAAATCAATAACACATTTATTTCTATTATTAGTTAAATTTCAGTAATTTTTCTTATTGAAGTACTTGATATTTTTCATTCATGTATTTATATTTACACTGTGCAACGAATATATAAAAATTATTTCTTTCTTTCTGTTATTCCTTCCTTCTTCCTTTCTTTCTTTCTGTCTTTCTTTCTGTCTTTCTTTCTTTCTTTCTTTTTTTGTTTTGAAAAGTTCTTTTTCATTTCCGAGAATATTTGTGCGGCTACGTGGATATACTTTTATGTGATTTGCCTGCCAAAATATTTCAACATTAACTTTAAAATCAAACTGTGAATTCACGGTTACATAAACATAACTGGACATTTAACAAATTCCAGGTGCCTGTTTTCAGTCAGTTTATGTTATTAAATGTGTAGATGATATTCAAACAAGTAATTTCCGCCCGTAGTGTATTTCTAAGTAAACAGAATGTAAAAGTAGGTTGATTATTGCGACTCGCTGTAATAATCAATCAACTACGTTTTAAAACAGAGAACATTGAATGCTAAATCATTTTCAGCATGTCTGCAACTATTATTTGAAGACGTCCGACGTTTTATTTAAAGGGAGACACAGGCAAAATTTTCATTTCTTAGTTTTGACTTTTTCATTCATTATTCTGTAAATGCCCTCAAAGTGAACAGTCAATGGAACAAAACTTTTCTCCATATAAAGAATAAACTGGTGGATTTCTAACTTGACCCGCGTGGTTCAGGTTAGAGCGCTATGATTTCGCGATATTTGTCAAAGGACACTCTGGAAACGTTAAAGAACATTTCAAATGAATGACATAGACTTGTTTCAATCATACAATATCCAAAATATCTGTTATTGTAACTTCAAGGGTTGGTTCAAGTCACCTGACTTGTTTTTAAACTATTTGGTGATTCTATTGGCGTCTAACTTTTGTTCAACATAATTATATAGATATATTTACGTTTCAAACCCAAAATATAAAAAATTTAAACAGAAATTCATGCTGAAACTTCAAGAAACGCCATTTTAGCCTGATCTGAGTATATAAGATCATTTTAATATTTTTGTCATTATTTTGCCTGAATATCCTTTTAACGGACAGCTCGTGTATTGTCATAGTACCACCATAATCAGCCTTTAATCTACATATTTTCTGTATTAAACTAGCTCTGTTTTCATTTTTGAACTGTGCATCATATTTGTGAGCTGGCTAGGCTCTATACTGATGGAAAATACTATCAATATTATTTTCATAACTTCATTTAAATATTAAACATACATCAATAGTTACGAAAGAATTATTTAATTTAATTCAATTTAATTATTTTTTTTTATAAAGGAACATTGTCTTAATATAAGAACAAACTAGCAATGATGTTTAACATTTCTGGATATTCGTAGAATAATTTTGCCTAGAGTAACCCATGTCGGTGCTAAGATACACTTAGTAATTTACTTTTTCTCGTTTCATTAGGAAAATAGTTGTTGAATAAACGTGCATGTAATAGACATTAATTACTACTGAAAATTCCTAGAGAGCTAAGCTTAGAAAAATACAATGAAATCATAACGAAAATACTACAAACAAGTATATGTACAGTTAACGACTTTTATATCATATTATTTAACTCTGTATTAACATATACATATTGTACTTGTTTCTTTCTGCAATACTGAAAATCTCAAAAGATATGTCTGATGTGTTTGTTTGTTTGTTTCTTTGATTTTGTTGTTTTTGTTGCCTATCACAATTGTGACGCTGATTATGTCATGCGTTTTAAATTAAGAAGGAAATTGTGAAGCTTCAATTCACATCTTATTGCTGATTTAGTTGACAACGGTTGAACTGGCTGGAAGTTGAAAAAAGAAATAACAAAATTGGCCTGTTATTTTAAATGAATGAAAGTCTATGAGATCATGCACAATTTATATGTGTTTCATATTTCCCAGTGCATATTTTCGTTATTATTGAATTCAGGTTTTACATTATAGAGGACTCAGTCGGGTTTTTATATGTGATATATGTTGTTATACTTAAACATACTTTGTAACATTTACTTCTGAAATTCAATGGAAATTTTTATTTAAAACGGGGACTCATAACGGTTTATATTAATGTCAATTTGAATATGGTGATTGGATTAAACATTGGCATTTTCTTATTATAAGTACACTTGTCACAAATATAGTTCAAGTTAAAGTTTTGTGTTATCGGCATACTTTGTTATTTTTTGTGTCTAACAAGAAAAACGAAATTACTTTTGTGCTTAACGAAGTTGGAAAAGACATAAATTAGTTGGAACATTGACAATATTGGTCGAAAACATTCTAGTTGTTGCTTGGAGAAAATATAACGCATTTCATTTTATTTATTTTAATACTGTAATATAAGTTCGGATTAGAGTCATTTATTCATTATGAGGTGGAAAGATTTGTTATTTGTAAGGTAGAAATAAAAGAAAATCGGCGTCAAGATGTACTAGCGGTACAAAGAATCATGCCCTATAAGGAAATAGGCACCAAATGCATCATTTGTACAACTAATGTGAAACAGTAAACATGAACACATTTTACTTTTCTTTATCTCATGCTTGAAAGCTTTTATCTTTTAATTGTTTCTTCAACTTTATGGATGACGTTATCAATTCGTCGTCTGACAATTTAATACTATGGAAAACAGAAAATGCAGAAAATAAATGAAATCGTAATCGATTTTCTGCGCAAATATATGGAATTAATAAAAGATAGTATGAAAACATTAATTCAACTAAACACATACAGGTTTAAGCCGGTGCTGGGGGGCGTGAGGGATGTTGCACTTATACATTATCCCACATGTGCAGACTCAATCAAACCGAGTCTGCAATTCTTATGTTATTTTGTTGTGATTGGTGCTTCCGAGGGATCACTTTGTTTCCAGAATTTTTCTTTTTAAGAAAAGCATTATTTTGTTCGGTGTTGATATAATATACTTTATTCTATCCTTATATATGAAATAGTGAGTAACATTGAAGAAACAAAATGTTGTTTTTTTTCTGTATTTTCTTTTTAAAATTTATTTTTTACTGCTGTGAAACATATTTAAGGCGCATCAAATGTCAGCCATATTGTTTTGTTGAAAATTTTAGGTCAAAAATTAAAACTTTCAACTGAAGTATTCTGAGGTACATTTAAAAAGGAAACTGTTGAGGCATTAATCCTTTACCTATAAAGAAGCTGTAACATTGCCTAAAAAGAAAAAAGAAAATTAAAATAAAAGCAAAAGCAAAAGCCTTACCTGAATCAGTTTGCAGCACATGTAACTTGTTTGTCAAAATAAAGTTCCTTCCAATGATAAATATGTGATATGATGAATGAAAACTTTTAAAGTTACATCTATTTTAGTGACACTGAATCTCCATTACCTGAAAAAATTATTTATCAATTGAAAATTGATATTCCAATAAGGCCAGTAAACACAGCATTATCTAAGTCCAATGTTTACATAGCATGTACACAAAAGTAGTGCAAGGTTAAGTATGGTGTACTATTATGGACATGGCTTACTGATAAAAAAATTTACTGCAATAATCCATAAGATAAGCAGGATAATAGATCTTCTTGTAATAATTCATTAAAATGAATTGAAACATGACATTCTTGCAAAATTAATTAAACATAAAAAGCATAAATTCAGAAACTGTAAATTATTATATAGGATTAATTACATTCAAAGCTGTTGTAATATGATGTTAATATTTAAAAGATATTATGCATAATGTTATTTAAATATTTTCTAAAATCAATTTTTAAATATAAAAACATACAGTACATGGTATAATGTAAATTGGAAGTGAAATAAAGTATACCATTACAAATCTATGAAAGTTAAGGTGCCTTCATTATAGTCTTTGATCAAAGAATCTACTTCATATGACGCGTCTTCGCCTTCATATAGCACCTCATATACTGCATCAGGATTTCCGTCTTTTCCAGAAGAAATAGAAAGCACGGTGCCTTTGTACCAATTCAGAGAGCCGTCTGATTCTGACCACTGGTGGTTGATTCTCCTCCCAAGGAATTTTAATTTTCTCAAACGTGTTGATCTGCAAATTTGTATAAAAAATATTAACTATCCCTTTGAAATACATGTTGAAGGCACTTAAAATCTGAAATAAATATTTATAATTTTTAGCCATTTTTAAACTTAAAATAAAGTTGCAAGTTGAATTTGTTCATTTATTTGGATGTTATGCAAAATTAATGTTTAAAAATAGTAAACAAAAGTTAATTTGAGAACAATTTACTGTTGCTTATAATGTATAAAGGCAATAATATAAGTTTATAACCATCATGATAGGAAAGGATTGCATGTAATGCACAATATTTTGTCAACATTTGTGTTACAGTACACAGTGAAAAAGTGCATGAACATAAATTAATATAACAGCTTCATTCAAAAATTATAAAATTCAAATAAGGGTATATTGAAAATTCTAAACATCATTAAAATTTAAAAATACTTCTTTATACATGTATACAGTGCAATCTAAACATTCATACTGCTAGATACCAACTGTACTTAAAAAGTACTTTTCAACTGTCCCTTTCCATAATGTAAGAAACAAAATTACCTGTTACTTAAGACCACCTGCCTTTAAAAAACACTTTCATGTTTTCTCCATATTGGTATTTCCTAAACAAATTTACAGCTGTTAAAAGAGTGCACATTGGTAATATTTAAAGATCTTAACTATATATAGTTATATATACATTAAAATAAATCACCTTTTACTTGATTGTGTTGGTGTTGGTATTAATGGGGTTGCAATGTAAATATCTTTGTCTGTCTTAATCTGAGTATGCAAGTCTTTTTGGTCCAATTTGTCACCTTCACTTCTCTTAGAGTTCTTTTTCTCTGATCTCTTGCATGACGTACCACAAAACTGTAAAATATAAAAATGAAGGATTAGGCAAAAGATACAGGTTACAATTAATATATATTTATTATTATAAATGGTAAGTTATTACATAGGATGATATATATGTAAGCACATGTAAATATGGTGAAAGAAACCAAAACATTAATAGTATAAGAAATTAGTAGTACATTTATTGTGAACATACCCATGGCAATTCAGGTTTTCTTATTCCAGATAGAGTACCATGTCTTGGAACTGCTAATTCAGGTAGCATGTGGGTGAAATAGAAAGCCTTTAATTTGGGAATCATAACTTTTTTCTATAATTCTGTATCACAGTATATGCGTTGAATAAACATATCATGTGGATTTATTCTTCTAATTATTAGATCACACCATTTGTAATTCATAATATTCATCTGACCTTGTATTTGGTAAAAATATTTATGATTTTTTTTTTCAGTTGAATAATGCCATTTTGCACTGACAAACAAAACGCTTTATCATTCTCTGCAGATTCTTTGATCATTGTTTTTTTGTTTTTGTCTTTATTTCATTGAGACCTTCAGGACCTTTGGATCCAACCACTACACCATCGCTTGAGGCTGCTAAAAAAGGATTATCTTTGTCAACAATTAAACCCGGAATATCAATTTTGTATTTAATATTTTCATCTTTCTCTTTCAAATTAATGTATTCAATTCTTGCATTATCCTCTTCACTTAAGCCTTTCAAAGTATACATGTTACCTTTAAAGTTGGAATAGAGAAGCCTTTTCACTAAATTGGGACTGTTATTATTTTGCGATCTTGACATCACTTCTCCAAATTCGGAACTTGTGAGTCTTTTCTTTCTTTCAGCAAACCAGTTAAGGTTACTTGACTGACCACGTGTATGCTGTTCAATTAATTTACTATTGCATGTAGATATGCTGGATTTATAAAACATATCACATTCCTTTTTTAATTGTGATGGACTGATATCGGCTGTATCTTGCAGCACAGTTTCGCCGTATTCTTTTCTTGCTTTCTTACTGGTGCTTTCAAGACATGATTTCATTTTCTTCAATTTCCTTTTGTTCCTGTTTAATTGACTACCTTTGGCACGTTTAGTACATCTGTAGCGTACAAACCTTTGTCTATAAGTACTAATAAAAACTCTATCTGGGCGTTTATCTGTAAGCTGATTGTAAACTTGTGGTGACCATGCTGGACCTAGCAAAGACCTTAATGCTCCACCATAACATCTTGCGTAAAATGAACCACGGAAGCATTTGTTGAACATTTTATCCCCTTCAAATTTTATGCTCATCCATGACTCAGCTAAATTACTGGTAAAGTTACCAACCAGTCGGTTTGCCTTTTCCGATAGACGATTCAAAAATAGAAAAATGTCTCTTAACAACTCTTTAATATTATAATTTTTCTGAGATATTGTCTTACCGCCGTTTCGTAACATTTCAATTTCAGTTTCAGAATAATTTTTTACCGAATCAGTCCAGTACTAGCATTGGCTTATTTAATATCTTCTTCATCATTATTGGTATTTTCCGTTTTGCTATCATCTGATTTTGTTATGTCTGTATTTTTGTCCTTATTTTTACAAAAATCTGTTGAACATAAATCATGTAAGCCAAGGACATGTCTCCCGGCATTTCTTATATCCTGTTTAAGTTTTTTAATTGCTGTCATTTTATTGGTTTCAGCACTTCGCATTACAATAGCACATCTTACACCAGAACAAATTCTTCTAATGTTATTTCTTGTCAGTTTACCTTTTCCTTTATAATGGGGCTTCTCACATATTAAGCGTTCTAAATTGGATCTAAGGCATTTAGTGGCATGGTTAGCACATTCGATTTTTTCTACATATTGCCCGCAAACAGGTACATTCTTTATTATATTTACATAGACGGAACTGTCTCCATCAGCTATTACATGCATGTATCTTACTCCATGTTGTCTTTCACAATTCAAAAAACCTTCTAAAATGATATCAGTTTCCATTGCCTGGGAAGATTCAGTCCAGTTTTTAAAACACTCATGCTGTACTGGTTCTTCATTTGCAGTTTCAGCACGGCTACATATATAACAAATTTTATTTCTGATACCTAGATGAAGAAGTTTCTTTGTTCTTGCACCAAAGATGACAGCAACTCCAGCCATGGCATTGTAGCTATGTTTGTGAGTACGCTTACTCCACCCTCCATCACATATGACAGTTATTGCTGGAATTTCTTGAAAATATTCGTCATTTTCCTCTGCCAATGCACGCTCTTCCTGACCTGCTTTCACAAGTTCTTCATCAAGAAGGGACTTCCACATACGCCCAATCTCTGTCTCAATTGACGAGTACTTTTTTCTGTAATGCCCGGAACACCTACAGTTCCAAAACATTCATTGAGGGAAGAACAACCTCCTCCTGTTACCATGCTACCTCAAACTGAACGAACATTTATATCCACCATATTTGTCGCACCAAACTTCTCACTGTTTTCCAGTTCAAAGGTCTTACCACATCCTTGGCATTTACAGGTGATGATGGTATAGAAACCATTCCTTTTTTCACTTTCAAGGACAATTACATTGTCATTTGAAAGGGCTTTCATGTGAGCTTCAGTGCAAAGAGCGGCATGTGAAGATATTTCTAAAATGTGATCTTTCAGTTTATGCATGTTCATAACTCAATTACCTTCTAAATTATCCTTTAATGATGTTATATGAAGTCTTTCTTTTCTTTGTCAAGCAAACATTTAAATTTTCTGGCTTTCTGAGTAATTATTTTACTTAGTATATATTTCAAACCTTGTTTTTTCTGCCTAATATAGAATGGGTCCACATGTTTAAGATTCCTCAGCTTATTTTTCAACTTTTCATCTTTCATCACAATTTTCCTTTTATAATTCAAGCTAATAATTCCAGTGGCCTTATTAAACACTTGTCTTTTCCCTTTCTTATTTCTTTTATTACCCATCCTAGTGGGGTAAAAATTACTGTTGCCACTACAATATTTCCTAAATTTCAAGCAATATGTTTACAACAAGTTATCACCACAAGTTATCCAAGAAATGAATATTTTCAAATTAATAAATACAATGACACAACAATTGAAATAAATTCCATAAATAATATATCCACATTAAATTCCATTAATTTAGAGCACATCAGTACACCATAGCGAGTTACTTTTATATGCACTTTCATTCATGTCATTTCACGCTTCATGGGTTTCAGAAATACTTTTCTAATACAATATAAAGGTCAGGCTATCTTACCTTCAAAGCTACATTGTAATAATAAAGTTGCATAAATATTTCAAAGAAATAAAATAGAATTAATAAAATCGTTTTTACAGGCCATGTGAGAACCTCTTGTTTTTGTTTACATTTTGATGAATGAAAACGAAAGTTAATTATTTGTAAATGGTATGTCATCGTACAACATGGCCGATCGGTTTGTTTATTTGTGGAATAAAGTAATTGAAGAAAGTACCAGTGTATAAATTATAATCAATACATCTGATCTTACCGTGAATAAGTTAAAATCATTTGAAAAGAACATTTTCCACAGCAGCGTGTCTACATCTCCGCCATGTTAGATTACTTGGTACCCGTTGTAACAAACAATAATTTTATCACGCTTACGACAGGCGGGTAACCATACGAAATGTATATCCGCCAAATTGTACAAAATTAAAAGAACTTACGCGATTGTCCATAGTTCCATGAAATATTACGTGTATTTGAAATATGTCGCTCATATATATTTTTTTAACAAGGACGAAAATAAAGTGATAAAAGAAATGTAACTTTCATTAAGATACGCCGAAATTACCCGATCATTCAGGTGAGGTCTACTTCTGTGTATGAATATTTTTTACTTTCTTCCGTTATGCGGTCAACAGAAAGCCGACAAAATGTATATAAATACAAGAAAGATATGACTATGTCAGGTATAAAGCAATCGAATTGAAATTCTGTGTATTTAGGTTTGTTCAATGAATATTTTGTTCATGGGAATATGAATCTGTTTTCATTTATTTTACTAAGCGAAGCATAAACATGATATCCTTTGAGGAAAAACGACGTAAAAACAGAAGGATTTGATAAAATGGCGGTCAAAAATGTATGCCGAAGCACGTGAAAAGTTCTGGTAACGTAAATGAGGTTATTTAACAAAACTTTATCATTCGGGTGCACTGCATTGATATATTGACTAAATGTTTATGAAAATATTTTAATTTAATTCCTAGTCTTTAAACAGAATTTTGACATAGCAGTATGTGGGTAATTTTCAGTTTCAAAATTGTGCAACACTGTCATCTTTTGTTTTTTGAATCAATAAGTCACTCTAATGGTGATATATTCCTATATATTTATTAACTATTAACTTTTTTTATAAAAACTCTTCTCTATGTTGTAATTCAGCAACTGCCATATAATGTTGAGGAGTAGCAAATTCACAAGTTTGATGTACCTTAACAATATTTCATTGATGTCTTGTCTGACTATTTTCTTCTAAATTTAGTCAATACGAAACATTTAAGGGACAGTCTTGCATATTGTTATGCCAAAAAAAGAGAACAATCTATAAAATAAACAGAAAAAAAAAACGAAGAATATTTTCTATATTTTGATATAGGATTTATTTTTATAGAGTCGAATTTAAATAAATATTTTATTAGAGGCTGTACTGTGGTCTCAATCAAAAACACGATTATTTACTAACCATATGTACTCATCTGGATATTTTAATTTTAATATGGCGCGGCATGTAACTAACTTTATTCAAAGTTATAAATATCTATGCATTCCTATGCATATCTATATCAGATATTTACTAAAAAGAGTAAACACCTATGTCTGAATAGTAATCTTTAATTGTTTTCTAATAGTGTGATGTTATCATATGTGATATGTGACATTTGTGTACCCCATGTTATTATCCAAAATAATTGAAATGGAAATCGTAAAAGTTCTGGAAAGTGTTTACAAAGATACCACAAAATCGAAAATGGTGTTTCTTACAAACCGTTAAATCGCTGTACAGTTTTCTCAGTTATTTCATATTTCTTTTCGTTTTTATCATAACGTATATTAGTTCACCCATAACATTGAGAAGAGAATCATTAGACCATTATGGATACAAAAAATATTTTAAAAATCTTGATGATTAGGAGAGGTCAGCAAAAAAAAAACAGTTTTGAACAAAAATTATGGAAGTGATCATGTGTTTTAACTTAACGATTTGTAATCATTTTGTTTGTCTCTGTCCTAAAGTACAAGAAGACTGAATAGAAGTCATTAATAAAAACAACTTTAGATGTACGAACGTGCTGAATGGTATTTTAATAGCTTTTTCATAGAACAATTGTTAGCAGGAACAATTGCTTAAGGCAG